ACTCGGACTCAAACGACCTTCGCTCGGGTTTTCTTTGTCGGACTCCCACGTCGAGCGGAGCAAAGTATTTTACCTAACTTGTTGTCGTACGAGACTTTTTTTTTTTTTTCCACAGCTCTCATTTATTTATTTATTTTTCCACGAGTCGGAGCTACAACGCGACCTGTCAGTTAATCCAGTAGGCGTGTCAGCAGATGACCAATCCGAAGCTAAATGCTCTTTACCTGCAGAGCTGCTGCAGCCCATCAGAGCGTACCACCTTACTGTGAGCAGGTTCAAAGTCCTGATGCTGATAATCTGATGCGGATGCGCTAACAGATTATCTCCTTATTTGTAAAACCAACACCAAAGTATATCTTAACAAGATGCTCAACATTCTTCATTTTACCACAGTTAAAGTACTGTAAACTCTGCTTTATCGTGTCGGAGTTCGGATATTACGACTCATTTAGCTTCAGATTGGTCATTTGCTGACACGCCTACTGGATTGATTGACAGGTCGTTTTCTTAGCGTGGCCCTAAAGCTTTGTCGTAGTTTTGTTTATGTCTTCAAACATGAAGAAAGTTTGTGGTAAAACTGTTGAAACCTTTCCTATTTTACCAAAACATAAAGGAATCGCACATAATGATCGTGGTTTTGTTATTGTGTGAACTTTTTTCCTACATAGTAAATGAACTAGCAACAAAAAGTTAACTTCTTTGGATTTCTAGACATTTTGTTGCCGTTTGTGAAGTTGGCTGAAAAGTGCAAAAGTCTTATTTCTTATTATAATGTATAAGTGACACAAAAGTTATCCTTGTCGTTTCACCGTTGTTGTTTTATTTTTATTTTTGTCTTTTGCTTGTCGTCATTTAAGCACCAAAGTTTCTCACACATCCTTATGTTCCCACAAAATGAGCTTCAGGTTCATGCGAGGGAGACGGTGTTACCTCTGTACCTTTTTAGCTTGTGCATCTGTATTGCGTGCCGCTAGCTTAGCGCTACGTCTGTGACGGGAATGGGGGTTGGGGGTGCAGTTCGATATGCAGGGCGCTCGGTTCTGTTGGTGGCGTGGGGTACCCTCCTTGTATAACGGTTGGGGAAACCCTGGAAAAGTATTGTTGGAATTGAGTTTAGCCTCCGGGGCTGCAGTAGGTGGTAGCTTGGTGGTCAGTGCTGCTGAGCCTCAAGGTTCAAGCTCATGTCGCATCAGGAAGGGCCTCTTTTAAAACAAAATGCCAATTACCAAATGTTTCATTCGAGTTTGCTCACTGTGGTGACCCCTTCATAAGGGAGCAGCCAAAAGACAAACAAGAATGGCGTTTGCATGTTTCTCCAGTAGTGAAGGGGAAATGGTCGCCCACTTCTGTCTTAAATGGTGGTTTGTGAGATGCTGAATCTCCAAGTTAATAAAGTTTTTAATCCTTTTTTTTACATTTGTCCTTCATGATGTATGCCTTCCTGCACCGAGTGCCAAAACACACGTTGCAACAGAATCTTAAAGTAGTTTCTCCCTCCAGTTCCTTTTCTTGAACCAGCGTGGAGCAACTTTGCACCACCTTATAGAGTTCTCGGTGGCAGAGATGTCTGACCATGATTGTATGTGGTTGGGTTATATAGTGGTCTTGATTGTGTCTGTAGCAGGAAGAATGCTGCTTGCCTCTCCTCCGTGTGTTTAAGGCTCAGCCCACATCACCACTGTGGCTCAGCTGACTGTAACTGGTTGCTTTTTTAAACTCACTGTGGCCTCATGTGTGGATACTAATGTGTATGTTTGTGTGTGTGGACACTTTACTGAATGATTGCACAACTTTATAGATAAGTGTGGCTATATACTGAGTCTGCAAGCACAAAAAAATATGTTTTTGTGAAGTCTTTTTATGCTCATTGGTGTCTGTGGAGCTCCATAACTAATCTGACTAGTCAATGGGCAAAAATATCAACAGATGAGGGAAGGGACTGGTTATGGAAGTGTGCCTCATTTAAAATCACCAGCTGACGTAGTAATTATTGGTGCTGTGAGTCTAATTCATTCTAAAAATGAACCATTAAAATGTGTAAATTTTCCTTGTGGTTTGGAAAGTATTGTTGGAAATAAGAACAAAATGGACTCACTCAGATTTTAGTACAATGCAAAAGGGTCAAACCAACTTTTTAATGTGCCAAAAAAACATCCCTGTATCCATCCACCTGTTTTCTTAAACCTATTTGTGGTCATGTTATAGAAGCAAAAGGTCCAGGATGAGACGTGTGACCTCCTGAGAGATCTTGAACTGTGCAGGCCAGAGAGGATCTATAATCCCTCGAGCAAATTCTGTGAATTCACCTCCAGAGGGAGTTGCCAGGAGGCATCTAATCAGATGCCTAATCCATCTCAGTTGACCCTCTCAATGCAAAGGTGGCTCTTCTTTGAGCTCCTCAGATGACAAAGCTCTTCATCTTATCTCTAAAGGTGCGTTTACACCAGCCCCGTTTAGTCCACTTTCATCGAACTCTAGTCCATCTTAGTCCGGTTCGTTTGGGGAGGTGTGAATGCGCAGTCGAACTCTGATGCGGACCAAAAAAGTGAACTCTGGTCCGCCTAAAAACCTAGGTCTCGGTTCAGTTGAAGTGAACTTGAATGTGGTTCGAATGCATTGTGAATGCAAGCGGTCCGGAGACTGCGCCAAAAGCAGGAAGTGGACTATAACGAAGGGCATTCTGGGTAAATACAACCAAAACAAACGTGCATTTCTCTGACCTCATACGGAGCCGTCTCAGCCGCCTTGTATGAAAAGCGACATTCTCCTTGATCTTCTGCCTCATCTTCCTCTCATGCTGAGTCCATTGTTCTTGTAGTTCTTGGTGCAGCGCCACCGCAGGCAAGGGGGGGGGGGGGGGGAACAGGTTGGCCCGACTGACTCAGTGCAGTGTGAACATGAACCGCACCAGCTGAAAATGTAAACAAATGTTCCGAATTTTGGTCTCCAATCGAACAGAGTCTACCGGACTATCAGGTGTAGAAATGATGTAAGACTTTGAATCCAACCACCTTGTAGCCACTTGCGTCCTGGACCTCATTATCGATCCACATCTCATGACCACAGGTGAGTTAGAAACGAACCAGTTACGCGAGAACTTTGACTTTTGGCTCAGCTCTTTCTTCACCATGACAGACCAGAGTTATCATTATCACTTTGGACGAGGCTTGATCCTTTGATCCATCTGTCAATCCAGTCTGTCATCACTTAAGAACAAGAATCCTAGACACTTAACCCCCATAGATTTAAGGCAAGACTCCCCCTGACCTAGACGAGGCATTTCATCTTATTACTGTTGAGTGTTGTGGCAGAATAAGAGGAGCTTTACACTTACTTGTGATTCTCTGCAGTGCACGCAGAAGGTCAAGGCCTGAAGATGGCAATGGAGATACCCCTACATCATCTGCATAAAGCAGACACCCTCTGCTCCATAACTGTGCCTTGAGATTATATCCATAAATACCATAATTTGGACTGATTTTGAACAAGGGCAACTCTGGTGAAGTCTGAACCTTCATGCTGAGACTGTGGACCAATAGTTTCTTACTTTGGTGATGCAGGGACCAGATAACTCCTAGAAACCACCCCAGCACACCATACTGCCTCAAAACCTCCCACCACCTCCCATCCCCACAGTATGCTACAGAGGACACAGTACTGAGCCTTCTCACATCTAATGTATGGACTTGATAGTATTTCAAATTTAATTTATCTTCAAGAGCTTCTTTTGCATCCCCATTACCTCACCCAGAATAAGGGCACCAAACACCACAACAATGGAAATTTACGAGTTACGGAAGGCATCTACCACCCAGCAGGCCACGTTACGTAACCGTCTTTGCCCCCGCTGAGCCACCCACTCAGTTCGGCTCCTCCAGCCAGGGTGCTGTGGTCGTGGCACACTCGTACAGGAACATGCCAGCGGCTGAACACAGCTGTCTGAGGGTGATGCCAGGCAGGCAGCTGTCCAAACACAGCCCAGTCCCAGAACACGGTGAGAAAAGCAGATTGATGGAAAAAGTGCACAACCAGAACAGTTCTGTTGTTACCCTGAGAGTGAGCACGCCGTGTAAAAGAATCACTATGTCTGATAGACAGTGAGTCAGAGAAGGATGTTTTGGTTGAAAGTGTTTGTGCATTTATATTTTCTTGCTGGTTGGAAATCAAATCCTGCAGTTTTGATTAGATGATTATGGTTTCCAGAATATCTGTGCTGCCTCTCAGCGTGACAGTGCACATTGTTCACAATGTCTCCAACATTCTTTATCCCACCTCTTCTCCTCCTTCTCCCATTGTCCTCATCCTCGGCCCTCGGTTGTTGGGGGGGCTCTCGTGTTCAAAGTCACTACGGAGTCACGTCAAGCTCAGTCAGCCATGTTCATAATCCTGTGCTGGGAAACAAAAGAGGCGCTGGGCAGGAATGGTTTCAACGCACACTCATGCACATGCAATCACATGTGAACATGGGAAAAAAAAGTAGTTCGTTTCTTGAGTTTTTATCTAATCTAGCTCTCTTTAAACAGTTCAACTTCGTTTTTTATTTTCACATAGCTCTTCCTCGCACGCACAAGCATGGGATTATAAAAGGGCATGGGTGGGAGGTGCAGGGATTATTACTGGAAGACAGTTCCACAACCAGAACAGAAGTTCAAGAGGCAAGAGGAGTGAAAAGTTGATGCTGCTGCTATAAGTCCATGCATGCAGAGAAATATGCACTCAGGCCAGTCGTATTAACAAGTTAAAGCTCATCAATCTAAGATCCTGTGACTATTACAGCCCACAAAGTCACTCAAGAACCATCTTGTTTCTTTGTTTCTGTCAAATAACTTGGCTTTCAGTGTAAAACAAGTGTAAGCCCTTCTCAGAGTTAAACTCTAAGAAGGTCAAACATGGATATCTTGTCAGTAGCATGCGACGCAACAGTCCATTGGCTGGTCTATCAAATGCAGCTTCAGGTGTTTGACTGTTATTAAACATGTTGTTTGTGTGCTCTTCATCAGTCTGGAAAGGGAGAGCCCCACGTCTTCAAGGAGAAGACGTTTAAGAAGAAGAGACAGTGCGGCGTGTGTCGACAGAACATCGACAACGTGGGCTCCTTCTGCAGAGGTAAGAGTCTTGCACAGCTGATGGCTCCAAGTAATATGTTTAAAAAAAAGTTGCAAAAATTTCAGATTAAGCCAGCTAAACTGAACAATCGGACCCTTTGTATTCATTTTTAAGCAACTTGTTGGCATGTTAAAATACAACTTTGATTCTGAAAATGTTGGGACTTTGTGTAAAATGTAAATAAAAACGGAACACGACGATTTGAAAATTTCATAAACCCATACTTTAGTTTTATCTACGTTCCTTTGTGAATAAAACGTGGTTTCATGAGATTTACCGTACTTGCTGCCGTACATGTCGCACTGCTGTGTAAAAGTCGCATCAGTCCAAATATGTCTAATAAAGTGGGGAAAAAAAACATAAATACATCGCTTTGCCGTATAAGTCGCATCTAATATGCGTCACCGCTGACCACCTGGAAATGTGGGCCGGCGTTGTGCCAAAAATCATTTGGCTGCCTAATGGTGGTCGCGGGAGCGTGCACAGGAGGACTTTAACAAGAATTTAACAAGACTAACACTTAAAAACAATTATTTGTTTGCTCGACATTATAGTAAAATTGTGTCTCAGTTTACCTTTTCCTTAATAAATGCACTTTAATGGTGAAATCTGCTGAATTTCACCGGGGCGGTGCGGCAAAATGCAGCTGATTTGCCGTTTTGCTCCAGGAGTTCTGGAGCGAGACAAAGGTGGCTTAGTATGGCAAGCCAAGCGTGTCATTAATAGCCACGTTTACCTATTAATGAGACACTTGGCTTGCCATATTAGTCGAGGGCCCTCTAGCAGCTGAACATGGTTGTGTTCAATATTTTCCATGTCAGAATGAATGAAATTGTCAGATGTCAGCCAAAAATTAGTTCATAAATATGGGAAAAAAAACGTATATTAGTCGCTTCTGTGTGGAAGTTGCAGGACTTGCAAATTTATGCAAAAAGGTGCGACTTATACAGCGAAAAATACGGTACAAATCATTGTGATCCATTTTTATTATTTATGTTTTATGAATTGGGGTTGTAAATAATTGGACTTGAATTGCATAACTAAAGTTTCTCCGTTTTTTTCTCTCCTCTCTTGTTGGATTCTCTCTAGTATGCAAAGCAGCCACCCACAGGAAATGCGAGTCTAAGGTAAGGGTCATTCTCAAGGACTTGTGAAACGGTTTTATTTTTTGTTAATTGAGTGAACTGTTATCGGTGTGAGGTGTGAAACAACAAACGACAGAAGCTACGAGGTTTCAAGATCTCTGCCAATAAGAAACGCTGCTCAGCAGCATTCCTCAGAAAAAGCCCAGAGTCCGTCTCAATCTCCACACCACTGCCTCTGTGAAGGAGCCATTGATGGAAGATGGTATAATGAATAGAGGGCAAGAATGCCAGCTGTGGCCATGGCCAGAGAGACGCAGGAGGACAGAGGAGCCGGGAGACTTGGCAGGCAGCGGGCGAAGCTGAGACGGCCAAGGGCAAAGGCATGTGGCAAAGACGAGCCTCATTCCTCCAGCATCTCCATATCTGAAGAGAGGAGCTGCTTGGGGAGGAGTTTGTGCATCAAAGGAAACCTTTGAGATACGACCAAACAGTAAAATAATACCAAAGCAGGCCTTTAAGGAAAACTTGATATGGTTTGTAGCCTAGAATAAAGTTTGGTTGCTTATTTGGAAATGGACACATTCTTTGTACGATAAATACAAACTATACAAGAACATACAGTAACTGTGACCTACAGAGTCTCATGACTGTCTTGAGTTTACCACACAGACATGATGTTGGTCTCCAATGTGGCATGAAGTTTTAAGTTAAAACTTAATTTTGTTAATTTATATCCAAACTATTTAAAGGAAACTCATTGGGGAACAAACTTTATGACGATAAATACCAGCTGCTTGCAGTTTTACACAGCTACTACCACATCGAGCTTTAGCTCAATATTCTTAAAACTGACCAAGTTTTAGACATTTTTTCATTTTTTTTTAAGGTTACTTGGCTGGGGCGACCATCTTAAATGGCCCTTTGGTGGTTGGCGATAATTAAATTGATCTAATTCATTGTTAAGTTTGATCTTAGGAAAGAAAATCAGAGGTTTTCCAGGACTGGTTGATGCGTATCGCTGCTGGCCAGGCAGGGAGAAGGTTAGATAAGGTGGTGAATGGTGGCTCACTTACAGCATCCATCTTCGCTGTCATATAACCGTGCATGGTTTGGGAGTTTAGGCAGTGATGAAGAAAGGATGGCATCGGCTTCCAAAGTGCTATCAACGTTTGGAAGTTATTAGCTGAAGCCTTGAATCATCCACCTCTACTTTGAGTATATTTCCTCCAACCTGTTCTCACCAGGCGTCTATTTTCGTCTGGCGTTTCGGCGATGCTGGTGACAAATCATCTCATTACCACGCCGGTCAGCATCCTGCCCGTCCATCTGCTCCATTTCTGTGAAACCACTTACCCTCGCCCACACACACACTCTTTTGTAAACTTCCTTCCCAACAGTGTGGTTGGCTGTAACAGGTAGTTTATAGTTTTTGTCCTTTTGATTCTTAATCTGCTTCTCGTTGACTCATCTCTACTCTTTTTTTTTTTTTTAAAGAAAAACTCCCAGAGACTTAACTGGACTATAAACAGTTTGTCCCCTCCTCGTCGAGAATAGTTTCCCCTGTATCTTTGATCCAAAGTGGAAAATTTAGTCCCCGGGGAACTGATAGGACTGAGTCCCTGTGGCAACGCAATGGACTCGCAGAGGAACGGTGGGAAGAGGAAGGATTTAAAATGAGCGAGATGCAGCCCCGTGACGAGTCGACTGGCCCGTCTAATTAAACAAGATGAAGCATTTCCGCTGGTCCGAGAACAAAACTCCACCACTGGATGTTTTGAGTATCTGCTGAGGTTAAAAGCCTGAGTCAGATCGCCACTGGTTTCAACTAACAAAGTCTGGATCAAGCTGAATTTGTTGTTGACCTGCAGGCCAGAGGAGTGAGAACAGAAAACAGAAAAGGGTGATATTTTTAAAGCAATTTATTATTTTCACATAAATGGCCTGTCTTATTGATATTTGGTCATCTTCTCTAGTTTATGAGCATGTCCATAAGTGCACCAGCTGTATGCTGTAAAGCAGACAGAACATTATAGATGCTCATCGTATGTTGCAATTAAGAGAAAATATGAACTAATTTGTGGCACACAAGCCATGCACCACATACAAAGGATCTTTAAATGAACGGAGTGCAGATTAGCAGTTGGTAAAACACAAGAAAAAATTAAATGGAAATGGAAAATTTAAACGAACTAAAGCAATGAATGTACAGTATTTTTCTACTCACTGTTACCAATGCCTCCAGAGCAGGAGTGTTCAAACGTTTTCATAGGTGGGCCTGAACTGTCTAGATGAAAGGACTCACTGGCCTGAAAAATGTGAATTTAAGAAAAGGAAAAAATAATTTAAAACGCTTGATTCTCTTTCTACCCCCCCAATTTTTCAACTCTCAACAACGAACGATATTTTGGAGAAAGGTTTAGTTTAAATTCTTGTAGATCCAGAACATTAGGCACCTCATAAACATTAACCTTTTTATTTTATTTTAAGAATTTAATTTATTATATTTTGGGGGGGTCTTTATTTTCGTGTGCTTGGAAAGTTTATTTTCATTTATTTTCAAAGACAAACTCCTAAAATGAGGAACTGTTCTTTAAAAAATGGGGTGGTACTTGACTCCTTCATTTGGACCATGGATTTAAGGGTCATCAAAGTTCTGAAAAACCATCCAGCTGAAAGTCGCTAAAACAGTTTCAGGTTTGAAGGGACACTGATGACGTTGATCAACTTGTATGCCGATGATACAACTTTATATTCTATTTAAAAAAAAAGTCCAATTTCTCCCCATCGATTATTAAACCAACTGAAATTATTTTCTTTGAAAACACTTGTTATATTTAGCCAAGTGTTATGAATTATTATCCAATATTCTACTTTTTGGTAGGTCAGTGAAGGTTTATTGTCGGATAAAGGGATTAATTTTAGCTAAATATTTGTATTGTACTTGATGTCGCTCATTTTGAGAAGATTATTTTAATCTGTTTTGCTGATAAACTGAAAAAATTAAAAAGTATCACCATTAAATCTAAAAAGATTTACATCTGCATCAACCTGTGGGCCAAAAAAAAAAAAAAAACGGTGGGTCAAAATTATACCATTCTTTAACTGCAGACGTGGGCCGCACAAAATCACTCCAAGTGCCGATAATGGCCCTCGGGCCACACTTTGGACACCCCTGCTCTAGAGTGCAGAACTCTGGGTCTATTTAAAGGTGTCTTCAGTAACAAACTGAAGCATTTTTCACGTGTATTTTGATAAAAAATGAGACGATTGTCATTACTGACAAAGTTGATTGTTATTAAGGCTGGTTGTGTTGTCATTAATTTATTTGATGTTTGTTGGCAATGCAGAGCTGCGTATGACGGTTATAACAATCCGTGATTTCCCTCCATGAATCAGGATTCCTGTTTTCCCCTCGTTGCAGTCAGGTTTTTTTAATGTTTTTTTTTTTTTTTTGATGATCAGAACCAAATGCTTAAAACCGAGCTGGTTTGTTGTCTTGACAAGAAGAGGATGTGCCATCAAGTACAGATAGGGTGGAAGAGGGGGAGGATAAAGGGCTGCGCAGGGCAACATAACCCGCCTTATTTTTCTCTAACATCAAACCCTTTCATCAGGACAGTTGTGGTTACGGTCAGATTCCCTTAGCTGTCTCTTTCCTTTTTTTTTCTGTACAGAAAACACAAAACACAGGAAATAATCAGAGGAAGAACTGCTTTCAGACTCTTCCTTCCTCTTCTATTTTTTTCTAATCTCAAAAATGTCCTCTTTTCCTTTAAAACACTAACTGGACCGATCCTTTAGGTACAAAACGTACCAAAACAGCTGAAACAAAGGAAGCGATGAGGAGATGGAACGACGGAGTAACGGCACCAGTGCTCATGTTTTCCCAGCACCGACTGACCCCAACAGCCCTGGCATTCTGCAGACATCCTATCAAACTGAAACCTCTCAGCCAAATGGCTGCAGGAATATGTCACTCAATACTGTAAAAAAAAAAAAAACATGTCAGCCACAGCGTTTGTCTAATTATTAGCATTTTCCCAGAAACTAATCGTTTGAACTTGCCACAAAGCATGAAAACCCAAATTTACAGAAAGGAGCCATGTTAATCATTTCAGTAGGTTGTTCTGGGGGGAATCTCGGTGACATCAACACTGGCCTGGAGCCCAGACCTCTGGTTTCCCTCCTGCAGACCCCAAACTCCACCAGCTACTTAAATCAGTGAGTCATTCGGGGTAACAGGAAGCAAATGTATCGTTCAGCATCACAGGAATCGGGGCTGTCTGTCCCAACAGACGGAGACGCCGCTTTATCACAGACGGCTTTGATAATTGCTCAGATAGATTCAAGCTTTACGTGTGTGGGGGGGAAACAAGTTTGTGAGCGGTGCAGATGGGAGTTAAAACCATAAGCATGACAGAAACCTAAGCTAAGTTGGGTCTAAACGGGGGCATTACTAATTGGGCTTTGGTCAGATATTTGACCTTCGGCTTCACATAAAATGGATTTACCTCTGAGAACCTTGCTGCGATCGGGTGTTGTGCATCTCTCCGAGGATTAGTTTCATTTCTGCCAGGAAGCTAAACATCTAAATATGAATGAATCTAAAAATTGGATCATCCTTGTTTTTTCTTTAAATTAATAATTGGGGACTGCTTAGTAAGGCAGCACCTATTATTATCCACCTGGCAAGGGTTTCTTAACTTTATACCTTACTCTTCCGTCAACTTTAATGTGGCCGGAGTCACAATGTGTGCCCCCAACAATCTTATGGCAAAACGACCGGCTTGGCACCGTGATGTGATGCTATTACTTGTATTGGCGTTTTGAGTTACTATGGTGACACAACTTGCAAACAAAGACTCCATTTTTATTAGTCATCTTTCATAGATTCTGGTTGCAAATCAAATATCCAAGATGGTCACCTGAGCTAAAAAGGAAAAATACTGTAAATCAGCTATTTTTAGAGATATTAAGCTGAAATTTGGTGTGGTAGCAGCTGAGAGCAATGCCCAATAAACAATGAATAAAAAAATATTCAA